GATATAATAAAAACAGCAAGAGAGTACTCAACCGTAACCAACTAAGAAGTCACCTTTAGAAATCGAGTCAATTTGTCCATGGCCAGAGCAGACATCTTTAAAGGCACACATGGAAACCATCAAATTTGAAACTAGGTGTCAAATAAGAGGCAGGGAAGCAAGGACTGAAAATGAATGGCAAAACCAAAACATTTAAGAAAAAGAACAAAGAAAGTTCTCAAGCTCTTGCTGATCAAAAAAAAAAGTTCTCAAGCTCTTACATCTTATTTTGCATCAATACCACAAATAAAATACTACATCAGCATAACAGTCTTTAAGCACAGTTAGCAAATACCTAGCAAGGGTACTGAAACTACTAAACTCTGGTCAATCTTTTCATCGCCAAAGTAGGCATCTTTAAGAGCAAATATAGAGACTACTGAAAAAAGGAATCAAATTTGAGGTAGGGCAGCAAGGGCTAGAAATGAATGGCAAAACTGTAACAATTAAGGAAAACTTAAAAAGGACAAAGAAAGCTCTAAAATTTCCCCCTGTAGTTGTCTCAATACACATGCAACTGGCGCAACATGATTTTTGCTAAATCCCCTAAGGTAAACAAAAGGTAGCACGCAATAGGTAATGCATGATTCATAGTTACACTACTAAATTTTTTAAATAAGTGAACCTAATGTTGATGAAAAAAAAGGCAAATACAGTTTAATGTTGATGATGCACAAAAAAAAAAAGGCAGAAAGAGAAGAGGAGTGTCCTCTGACCTGAATGCTAGTCCTTGGGCAAAATTATGAGAATATAAAGTAACAGAGCGAGCCGTTATTGTTGATGAAAGTAAATCTCGGTTTTTGTTGATGATGATAATGTTGCTGAATGAAATTTGAGGAGATATGCAAATGCAATAAATTGAAATACATATTACAAGAAAAGCAAATACAGTTTCAAGTCTTTTTCCCACATAGTTTCAAAGACAACATTATACAGATAATAAACAAACAAACATTTCCAGTTTTCCACTTAAAATTGGACATATTTAAACACACAGCACACACAGCAAAAGAAAAACAAAGATTATATTACATTGAAAACCCAATAGCAACAGCAACTAGCGCATATGTGATTTCCTCCAACTTTCTTGTGGTTACCGAGCCGAATCCCAATTGCTGCCAATGGGGGAGAAAAGAATAGATGAGAGAGGGAGAGATTTATTAAGAATGGAAAACTCATACTGAGTTGAATCAAAAATGAAAAATTGAAGATTAAAAGGCTTACATTTGCGGTGCGCCCTCCCACCATGTCAGCTAAAATTTACAGAAGGGGAAAAGGATGTCTTTTGCATTGGGATGGTCCCATTCCAATGATTCCCACCAATCTTTTGGGAATACCACAATTTCTTTGAGGGAAAAAGGATGAGATGATTGGGCATTATCAATCAAGGGAAAATTCAGAGGAATCCTCTTTACCTTCTCGCAATAGGTAATCCTCAGACTCTGGATGGAATCACAAATCAACACACTAGAGCTGCTGCGGATGCTCTTCAATAAGGGCAAACTTGTCAATTCCAACCTTTCTAACTTGGGTAGAGTGACTTTTTCTTCTTCATGTGCCGATGACGATATCAGCTCCTCCATTTGCGAACAACTTGAAACCTTAATAATCTCTAGAGATTGGAAGAAGCAGAGCAACCATCCAGATGAGAATACCTTCTTTAATTGACGACACCAAGCAACCCTAATTTCTTTAAGAGAGAAAAAGCTTGTGGGAGGTACATGTGGCGATAAACCAAAACCTTCTTCATCAAACACGGATTTCAAATTCTCTAAATCAGAAAGGACTAGATATTCAAGATTTGGAAGTGGGTTGAACATGGACCAAAAAACACTCTATATTTTCACAACCAGAAATTTCAATCTTCCTAATGGAATCACAAATCAAAGAACCGCTATAGATGGTCTTCAATAAGGGCAATCTTATCAATTCCAACCTTTCTAACTTGGGTAGAGTGACTTTTTCTCCTTCTTTAGATTCAGACCCTATTATCTCCTCCAGTTGCTCACAATAATAAACCTCAACAGTCTGTAGTTTCTGGAGATATTCCAACCACCTTACCAAGCATAACTTCTTTATTTTATTACAATGCCAAACACTAATATATTGAAGAGAGGAAAATGTGCCAGCTGGTAGTGATGCTGACTCAGCAATTGCTCCTACTTCCCCAAACACCATATTCAAGTTATGCAAATAATCAAGATGCAGCTTCTCAAGGTTTTGAAGCTTCCCCCAAATTCCAATCATCTCCCATTTAAATTCTGTTTTGGCACTGGGACTGGCAAATACTAGTAAATGCTGAAGTTTGGAGAGATTTTGTAGCGGTTTATCAAGCGTTTCAGATAATCTTCCACCAAGACCAAGATATTTTAGATTTGTTAACATGTTGAGGCCTTGCGGTAGTTCTTCAATTGATGTCCATAAAAGGTCCAACTTTTTTAACCTTACAAGGTTGGATAATGATGGTACCTCTCTTAAGGACCCACATCTACATAGCAATAATGTAGTAAGCTTCTCCAACTTGGAGATAGAACTCGGCAGCCTACATAGCTGATGATTCCAGGAAAGATCAAGGATCTTGAGCTCAAGCATATGCTCAAAAAAGGCTTCTGGAATTGTTGAAATCTTATTATTGGACAACAGCAAGGTTGTGAGCATAGGACACTTTGGAGACGCATGCTTGAAGGAATTTCTGTTATGTGATTCATCATTAAAGAAACCTTCAAAAGATTTTCTCTCCATTCATGCTCCTCTGGTAACTTCTCCAAGGCTATGCCGACTTTCACCAAGAAATGAGGACTGATTTCCAGTGCCATTTCTCGAAGAAGATTATGCATACTCACACATTCTTCTTCGTCTTCTTCTTTAACCGATTGCAACAAGCAGTTGTTAATTAGCTTATCGAGTATATCATGACCCTTCCAATACATTGCCTCCCTAGTTTTCCCTTCTTCATATATAAGCCCCTCCTCAATCCAATACTCAATTAACTCCTCCTTGTAGATTTCAGCATCTTCAGGATACAATGCACAGTATAGGAAACACTTTTGGCATTGTGGTTCTAGGCATTCATAACTGAATTTCAAACAATCAATAATGCTTTCAAATTTACTAAATTCAGAAAGTGCCAACTTCTAATGATGAGGAAGTAATTTCCCTTTCATTGATTTTGCCACTGTCACAATAGCAAGGGGTACTCCATCACATTTCTGCAAAATTTGCTTCAAAAATGGCTCTATATCTCTTTTAATTTTGCCATCTGAAAACACATCACTTCCAATTTTCTCCGAGAATAATTCTAATGCTTCTTCAGGTGGAAGAGGGTTCACATGGATCACATTACAATCCATTGCACGAGCAACATCTTTTGACCGTGTCGTGAGCACTAACTTGCAACCATTATTTCCAACTGGATTAGAAATTCCAACATCTTCTAGAGAAAAAGGCTCCCACACATCATCCAGAATTAGCAAGAAGCTGCCCTGCCCCAACCTTTGTGAAATCAATGCAGCAAGCTTGGTTTCATTCTCATGATCTAGCTCTCGTTCTAGTTTCAAGCTACTTGCAATCTTTTTCTGAAACTGGAGAATATCAAACTTCATTTTTTGCTGGACAGTAATGTTAAAGTCTTTTGACACTGTTACCCAAATAACATTCTCAAATTTGGATTCAATCAACAGTTGGTTGTGGACATTCTTCATAATTGTTGTCTTGCCCACACCACCCATTCCCGAAACTGCAATTCTTGTAACCTTGTCTCCCTTCAACCATTCCAGAATTTTTTCTTGTATATCATCCCTGCCACTACATGTTTCAACGAGAAGTGGAAATCCTTTGATTGGGTGATCATCTCTGACCGAAATCACAGCAGGATTAGTGAATTCTTTTCCTTGCTCAAGTATTTGCCTCAATTTTTCAATTTTTCTCCTGAGGTTGGATAGAGAGAACCATCCCCCTTGGTTGTGGACATTCTTCATAATTGTTGTCTTGCTCACACCACCCATTCCCGAAACTGCAATTCTTGTAACCTTGTCTCCCTTCAACCATTCCAGAATTTTTCTTGTATATCATCCCTGCCACTACATGTTTCAACGAGAAGTGGAAATCATTTGATTGAGTGATCATCTCTGACCAAAATCACAGCAGCATTAGTGAATTCTTTTCCTTGCTCAAGTATTTGCCTCAATTCTTCAATTTTTCTCCTGAGGTTGGATAGAGAGGAGCATCCCCCTTGGTTGATCAAACCTTCAACCTTTATGCCAATCTGTTGGCCTGCTTTCTCTAGCCACTCTTCAACTTCCTTCCTTGCAATCTTTCCAGGTTGCATACGCCGAGTCTTCAAATTTGCTTCAACGTCTTCCTTTTGGTGCTTTAGCCTCTCTTGCTTTTCTTCAAATACAGTTGCCCAATACTCAATTGAGGGAGTATCTACGACCAAACTCTCATCAGCACTAGTGTACTTTTCTCCTTGCT